CTGTCTCTAGAATTGAGCTGCTCTAGGTGCCGCATATAAGTGAAATCGTACAGTGTGTGTCTTCTGGCTGTCGTCTTCTACTTCGTGTAATGACCTGCAGGTCATCGTGTTGTAGCATGTGTCAGTTTTCTTCCCCTTTTAAGGTTGACCATTCTCCACTGTATGTACAGGGGGACTTCAGACAATTTGTGGAAAATAAAATCAAAGTAGGAATTACTTTGGTGCAAAAATATTTTTGAAATCCATACATGATTTTTTTATAACAGACATTTCCATAAAGTTCTTGAAGGCCCCTTGTATATATATATTTATTTTTCTCTTTTCTTTTTCTGGAGAGGTTTTTGCTATAGGGCATGTGCGCTTGCCAGAAAGACAGAGAGAGACAGAGAGACAGAAAGTGAGAAATCACCCCCCAGGAGATCTTGGGCACACATGCACACATGCCCAGTGTGAGTTCAAGCTGCCGGGTCCCGGACTCAAACCACAGTCAACTACGTGGAAGTCCAGCAACATAGCCATTATGCTAGCTGCTGGTCCCTATTTTTCACTTGATAGATACATGGGTAGCTTCCACTTTCTGCCATTGTGAGTAATGCTTCTGTGAGCATGGAGGTACAACTATCTTTTTGAGACCCCACATTTAGTTCTTTTGGCTATATATCCATACATGGAATAGCTGGGTCGGGGCCAGCTGGTGGCGTGGTAGTGAAGGTGGCTGGAATCCCACGTGTGGTTCGAGTTCCAGATCAGGGGGCTTGTAAAACACTTCAGGCACATGTATGTGTATGTGTCCAAATTTACAAGGGAAGAATGGAGAAGGGATTGTGGTGTGGCCATCACCTACACACATATCACACACTCCGACAGGTGCTTTCTCACTTTCCCTCTCTCTCTCATGAGCACACGTGCCCTCTAGTAAAAGGGGGTAAAAAAGGAAAGAGTAGCTGGGTCATATGGAAGCGAAGTCTACATTGTCGTTTGGGGAAGGTAAAAACATGACTTTTAGAAAAAAAAAGTGAAAAGGGTTCCAATAACAAGAGGTATCCCAACCGTTATAACTCTGAATTCCAGAGTGGATGACTGAATGACAAGGCAAACAAGACCAGAGCAAGAGGTTTCTTTATTTGTTTGTTTTCTTTGTCAGAGGACAGGTGTGCTTGCCCAAGAGAGATGGGGGGAGAAAGAGAGGGAGAAAGCACCCCCAAAGGGGTGTGGTCACACCAGTCTTTTCTCCATTCTGTCAGCATTTTGGACATGTGTGTACATGTCCCTGATGCATTTTTTTAATAGACCATAATTTAGTTTATTTTTAAAACCCATCTTGCCATGAATTCATAGGGAATAGGTTCCAGAAGCTCAGGCTCCTTTCCGTTGGTTCTCACAAAGTGTGCTTCTCTGGGTGGAGCAGGCTGGTGCTTCAGTTGACCCCAGGTACCTTTCTCTTTGGCTTCCTTCTTTTTCTGGTCATTTTCTTCACACATTTTAGGAAGCTATCTCTGCTTTTAGAATGTTTAATATGCTCAGTACACACATTAATTCTCTCAAGAATCTTGCCCTTAACTTGTTTGTTTACAGCAATGCCAACAGCATGCTGGGTAACATTGTAGACTCCTCCAGTTTTGCCATGCTCATATTTGTGGGGCATTCCTTTCTGAATAGTGCCCATTCCCTTGATGTCTACACTATCACCTTTCTTGTAGATTCGCATATATGTTGCCAAAGGAACCACTCAGTGTTTTCTAAAAGGCCTAGAGAACATGTATTCTGTTCTTTCCTCTTTCCCTTGTGTTCGTCATTTTGGTGAATTACTGGAAAATGGTGGTTCCGGCCAAAAGGACCTGATGCATTTTTATAAACATCAGGGCTAGGGTCGGCAGATGGCATGGTAGTTGAGGCACTGGACCTCCCACATGACCAGAGTTCAAATCTGTAGACATGGTGGCTTGCTTTCTCACTTTCTCTCTCCCACAACCTGGTCAAATTATGAAATAATAATAAATAAAATAAATAATTCTTTAAAAGGAAAAGAAAATTCTAGAGCCAGAATTTAAACTCTGGTTTTCATGTGAGATTTGAGAGATTTAAACCGTTTCCGCCTCATGAGGTCTGGCTCCCTGAACCACTAGACTGGAGCCAGCCCTCTACCTGCCCTTTGGGTGGTGTACAAGAGCCATGCTGTGTTGTGTATTTTAAATGAGGGCCTACCATTCAAGTCCAGCAGCACATTAAACCTTAGTAGTTTTGTCTAAAGGTATTTATTTTTCTTTTTTTTCCTTTTTTTCTTTTTTTTGATGTAGGGCACTTGCACTCACCAGAGAGACAGTGAGAAGGAAAGTGAGAAATCACCCCCAAGGGAGATGGCCACGCAGCAGTCCCTTCTCCATTCACTTCCTGGGATTTGGGGCATGCACGCCTACACACCCAACATCATTTTCAGGCTGCCGGGTCTAGGACTCAAACCATGGTCAGCCATGTAGGAGTCCAGCACAGTAACCACTATGCCACCAGCTGGCCTCATATCCGTATATTAATTAAAGGAAGATAGGAGTTTTAAATGGTCATGCTTTGGTGTAAAATCAAGATATACTTTTTTTTTTTTTTGAGGCCCTTATTTTTATCTCAAGATATCACACCCCTATAGGACTTTTTTTTCTAGTATTTAAAAACAATGAATATTATAGTAGGTATTGAAATTATGGGTTGACCTGGATAAATTACTATTGGAGAGAAGTTTGAGGTGACAGTGGAATTCTTGAGTAGAATCCTCACAGAGGTATTTGGAGCCAGCGGCCTAGATCCCAGTTAAGGCTAGAGATGCTCATTTGGTAGTTACCCTACATGGAGGCTGACTTGGCTGAGATGTTGACATGGTAGACCTTCCACAGGTGAGTAATTCCTTTCCTCCTGACTTTCAAAGCCCGGTTTCTAAAATGAGTTGCCTACACTTAACAGATTCTGCTTCCTGACAGCTCTGTCCTTTCAGTCCCTATAATCTGGCTTCCCCGCTCCCGTGTGTATGTGCATCACACTTACACTCACATCCACACTCTCGACGGAAATTGTACTCTTGCCAGTGACTTTCTCTCGGTTGTGTTTATTTATACCCACCCAAGAGCAGAAAGGACTTGAAATGAGAGTCATTTAACTGTGTACGGTAGTCACTTAAATTTCAATTCTTAAAATTAAGTCAAATTAACTTTATTTGAATAAACCTATTAGTACTCAGACTTCATATAAAATGACTTTTTAATGAATTTCCAGGCATACTATCCTGCTTCAAGTCCTTACTAGCTATACTTGATAGAACATTTCTTTCACCACAGAAATGTCTTTTGGACAGGATTGATATTCTGCTCTATAGTATCTTAGTAATGATACCTGACTTTTAAAAAATTTTTCCAGAGGTCATGTACACTTGCCAGAGAAAAAGTGTGAGAGAGAAAGCATCCCCCGATGGGGAGCCCTGATGGGGAGCCCTGATGGGATATGGTCATGTTACAATCTCCTCTTCTCCATTTCTCCGTCCTGTCAGGATTTGGGCGCACATGCCCACACACACCTGGCATATTTTTCAAGCCACCAGGGCCAGTATTGAAACTGCATAGTCAGCCATGCAGGATTTGGCCTCCTTAATCAGGAGGCCGTAGATCCGGCCAGTACCTAACTTTTTACCACATTGTAAACCATTTGAGGGTTGCACTTTGACCTAAGCCCTTTGTATCTCTTTTTTTAAGAATTACTTATTAATTTTATTTATTATTATTGCTATTTTTTAATTTGCTATAGGGCACATGCATTTACCAGAGAAAGTGAGAAAGCTACCTGTCAGGTCTAATACTCAAACCACAGTCAGCCACGTGGGAGTCCAGCACCTCATCCACCATGCCACCTGCTGGCCCCTCCTTGGTATCTTCTATATTCACCTGTTTATAAAGTCCTTAATGAATAGCTTGTTTATTAATTAGTGTCAGAAGTTGGCTATAGTAGAAATAAAAACAAATTTTGACTTAGGGCAAAATACTAAATATAAGAACCTAGGCATTTATACAGTTTTGATTCTGACTATATTTGGTAAGCACTAAATATTACAACACAAAAATCCAGCCCCATATACATATTTTTTATTTCCTAGGGGGCTCATGCACTCACCAGAGACCAGAGAGAAAGAGAAAGTGAGAAAGCACCCACCACGGGGTGATGGCCATGGTGCAATCTCTTCTTCATTTCTCCCTTCAGTATGAATTTGGGGTGTGCACGTACACGCTCCCAGTGTTTTTCAAGCCACCACATCCAGGACTCGAATCTTGCAGTTGGCAGTGGGATCCAGCTACCTCAACCACGAGGTCACCAGTCGGCTCCTCCGTTCCAGTACATCTTAAACCATATCATTTCTAGGCTAGCAGAGCATTTGTCCCCGAGTAATAGAAATCATTCGGTTACTGGATACATACCTAATAAGTATCAGTAGGCCAGCCAATGGCCTAGTGGTTAAAGCATCTGACCCATATGGACAACTGTGCAGTTCAAGTCCTGGATCTGGTGGCTTGAAAAATGCACCAGGCATATGTACATGCATGCTCAAAAGTCTGAAAGAATAGAGGAGAAGGGATTGCAGTTGACCATCCCCACTTGGGTGGGGGAGGGTGCTTGCTCACTTTTCTGTCCCTCCATTCTCTCTCTGGTGAATACACATGCAATCTAGCAAAATTCTTAAAAAGAATAAGTCCCTACATGCCAAACATCAGGCTAGGATTACTGTAGTAAGGAAAGCAGATGGCCGTTCCTGCCTTCACAAAACTTACAGGGTAGCAAAGACAGATAGCAAATACATAGTTATTAAAAACATGATGCATCTTAGAACAGAATTGCCACCACAGTCCTTAACTTACTGTAGGGGTTAGTGAAGACCGGATCTTAAATAGCGGTTGGGTTTGGCTGTGGAAATCTTTGCTGCCTTGTTCCTGCAGTGCAGATTGTCTGAGTGACTGCCTTTCTCGTAGCTACCCGAAAGCCGCCAGCTCCTGTGGCTGAGACGACTTGCTCACGGAACAGCAGGCCTGGTGTTCCTCACGGCGCTCTCAGGTAGGACTGGAGAGGCGGCCTGTTTTCATGCCACTCTGCAGTGGGATCTCTGCTGCTTCCCGCCTCTTTCGATTTCCTTTAGACGCCTGTCCTCCTCATACCATCATTTCCTCCTTCTGCTTTCTGTTTCTTCTTCCCTTCCAAAAATCCTACTTTCCAGTCAGTTGATCAAAAATACTGAGCATCTGTCAGTCACATCCAGACTGCCTCGGTTCTCACGTATGAACTCTGTATGACCTTGGTAAACCGTGTGACCTCTCTGGGCCTCAGCGACCTCGCCTGTAAAGTGGGGGTGATGGCAGTGGTACGAATGGTACGTTTGACGCTTGTAGAACAGGACCTGGCGTGTAGCCAAGGCTGCATAGCATCCGCTGTCAGACGAAAGGCCTGCCCTCAGAGATGATCAAAGGTGGGGGGCTCATTGAGGCAGAAAAGACCAGCACAGATGTGTCTCATTTTATAACCACGCCGTTCTCACCCTTGAACGGTAGAGGGGGTCAGCCAGTTCAGTTCTGTAGTCACTTTGGCCACGGTTCATGGGCTCAGGAGACACGCGGCGAGTGGCTGTTATAGTGGACAGCACAAATAGACAGCACTTAGGTTCTCACACAGAATTCTTCCAGACAGCACGTCTCTATAATAAAAATAATATTGATGCAAGCCAGTCATCCACCCAATACTCCCCCATTTTTTTCAGTAGATGAACATGAATTTAAACCTTATAAGTGACATTTACAAAAATAAGGAATGTGATCCAGTCTTCTCTGATCATAAATGATCAATCATTCATCATTAATTTATGAATGCCTGTCTTTATATGTTTATCCAGGATTCAGTTTGTCAGTTTTAGGGGTTTTCTGATTTCTGAGTTCGTTCCACAAACATTTATGGAGCACGTGGGGTAGACAGAAAACATAGCATGTCAGATGGTACTGGGTGCTGTGAAGAAACATGAAGCAGGCTAAGGAGAGTGAGCAGGTGTAGAAGGGGCCATTGTATGTGCTCATCAGTGGAGATCCCTTCGCCTGCTGCCATTTGAGTGGAGACCTGAGGAAGTGAGGGGGTCAGGCAGGCAGGTGTCCGGAGACGAGCTCTTACAGAAGGATTAGTCATACTCAGTGGAGAAGGAGGGGATCAGAATCAGGAAGGGAACTTTTCCAAATGAACACCTCTCCCTCCAGAGCCTCTAGTCCACTCTTGTGCTGGGAGCAGGTGAAGACGTGGTTTTGTGTGTTTTCAGTTCCTATGGGTATTAGGATAGACGTTCCCTGTTCGAGAGCCCTACTCTCCGACTACCCCACTGTCTAAATGTGAGCCAGCGTGTGGTCTCTGTGTCAGAATTGGTGTATGGTCTTCCTCTGATTTTAATGAGTACCATTTACCTTGGAATACAGGAGCTTTTGTGGCAGGGCTCGATGCCGGACTGGTTTACAACTCCTTCCCCAAAATGGGGGAGTCCTGGATCCCAGAGGACCTGTTTACCTTCTCTCCCACCCTGAGGAATGTTTTTGAAAATCCCACCATGGTGCAGTTTGATCACCGAATCCTGGTAAGTGTAGCTGGGACCTCCCTGAGAGCACAGAGAGCCTTTGACGGGCTTTGGAGGGTGGAAATGCAATTTCTTGTCCTTTTCAGAAGAAATTCTAGGACCCATTCTTTGATTTGACATTTTTGTCCTCATTACTCACACCCTGTCCACCCACATCCTAACTTTCAGGTTCTATCCTTTGACCACCTGGCAGGTGATAACCCTCCCAGTCCTGCACATTCCTAGAAAATATGCTGAAAGCAAAAACGAGAGGGTGAGCAGAGAAGCGAGTGCAGATTGTGATTGCCAAGCACAGGGCTGTCAGAGCTGAAGCAGAACCTCACGGAAGCAGGAACCTCATAAATACTTTTATTTAAGCTAATGTGTCCTTAGGGCTTGGTCAAGAGTGTCTTGGCAGCCTGGCCGTGATGAAGAGGAAGAGATCAACAGCAAGGGGCCCACGAGAGCCATTGCAGTAACGCAGAGAGAGTGAGGGGATCAAAGCTAGATGGTGGGAATGGGGAAGCTGAGAGAGGTGTGAAAGAAACAGAGGGTTAATATGCGTGACTGTTAGGAATGAAGCTAAAGAAAGATCAGGCGAGATCCCAGTCTCCTGTGGTATACTTAAGTCATGACCAACATGGGGCCAGCAGTTGGCCTGGTGGTTAGGCACTAGTCTCCCACGTGGCCAGCCACTGGCAGCTTGCTTTTCTTGCTTTTCTGTTCCCTCTCTGTCTGTCTCACCTCTGTCTATCTAGTGAGTGCATGTGCCCTGTAACAAATTTTTTTTAATTTATTCATTTTCTACATTAATTCACTATACACCATCACAACACACAAATGAATTTTCCATCCAAAATACACTGTGCATTGGCTCAATAAAGCACATCAACATACATGTTCTCAGCAAATAATTTTCCAATTCTTATGTCCTGCATACCTTGCCTTTTGTTTTGCCATCGTAGATTTCCCATCCCCCTCCCTCTGCTATGTCCCATCCTCCTCACCCATTGTCCCTGGCATCCATGGCTGCCCTCCATGCCTTCCTCCCCCCCCCATTCAATTGTTCTGCCAATGAACTTAATTAGTCTAAATATATCCAATAGCTAGCACAGCTGACACATACCTATACATGAACCCAAGTCTGACTTTAGGCATAAACCCCAGTGAGTAGAATGAACATACTATAAAGTAGTACCCAGCTGTGCCCATACAGCTCGCTGCAGTCGTCAAATATGCATTTTTTTTTTT